GAGAGCAAGGCCTTGCTCTCCAGCAACATTTTCCATACGAATCCTCTAAATTTTCCGAAAATTCAAACTATGGTATAAACTTACTCGTTTTTTCCTGGGACCTCAAACTTGGCCATTTTGGTATTTTCGATGCGCTCTTTCCATTTCTGGTATTCTTTAAGTTATAGCCCATAGTACAAAAATTTTTTAGGAAAAATTTGGTCACGTGACCCCAGCTGCAAAGGGCCTATTGCCGAGTTCTTTGCATCTTTACCTTTTCTAACATATATTTGCGATAAAAGACTAAAGCCATCAATACACTGCGTTCAATTATAGAGAAAAATAACACAGATACTGCTGGTGTTGAGTAAATAAAATGATCGCTCTATTAATTGACGGCATGTTTGTTTTTTGCAATCCTTGTGCAAGCGTTGAATTGCATTAGCAAAAGCGCGCGCGAAAACTGTGTTCGGCCATCTTAATCTAGCTTCCTGGACAAAAAGAGTCAACCTCGTCACCAGGGACTCTCTTCTTCCTGCTCCCGGGGTGAGACTGGGGCGAGAGAGGAGTGGGAAGATATCACAGTTTCATTTAAAAAGCATAATCAATTCAAGACCATGGTGTATACCCTATTTCACACCACAATGCTAAAACTCTACACCCTATTTCAGACCGAAACGGCTGAAAAAACCAAAGCCTTTGGCGCCGCTAAGGCGCATCTCTTTATACTTATATAACGGAATACTCCCTGTCCATCCTGGACCTATAGTAATGACCATGCGAAAGTAATGAATTCAAAGGGAACTTGAATTATTGTGATGAGTGAAAATGGTAAAAAATATTCGGATAGATCAAGGATACCATACTGATATGATATTTATTTAGGCGACCCTTATTCCAAAGGCAATATATTATTCTTTGTTGACGTTTGATGTAATTTATATATTCTTTTCAACAAAGCTATCCTTTTCATCCTCTAAATAAACAAAAAACATCTTCATTTTATTAAGATGGATTGGTTGCCAGTACCGACCTCTTAAAAAATGCAACCCTGGAAAAGAAACGATAGACATAATTTAGAAAGGCTGTTAAATATTAAAACGAAAGTTAAAGGATTGTTGCTTTCAGAACTTTAATTTTCGGTAATGTATGAACATTGAAATGAAAACTATTAGGCGCGGTGCTTTCATCTACATTTTGCTAATTAGTATGCAAATTTTGTTTCCATTTCCGCTTCTACTTTTTTTTAATCATAGATTCATCTTTTCTTTTTTCAGTAAATTACATGTAACGTTTGAGGTGTTCGTATATTTTGCGCCTAACGTTCGGTTCAATTTTTATTTTTCTCCCATAGGGCTTGTGGAATTGCAGGTGTCAATTAATAAACCTACAAGTCAATCGTCATTACTTGGTCGCCAAATTAAAGTGAAACGAGCTGTTAGAACAGTTGTTGATACAACAAGAGCGAATGGACAATTTAATTTCGTTACATTTATCATAAAGCTCTCGATAAATTATACATATGCACCTATTCCAACGCCCAAATCGCTTTACCGCTGTCACCTTTCAGAGAGGGAAATGACATATGGTAAAACACAAAACGTAGAAGTTAACTTCTAAGTTCGCAATCGTTTTGAAATACAGTTGTGCTAAATGGGAGTTACCAAGGTGACCAATGCTTTTACTCATTTTCCTTAAGTAAGCACCTGCAGCTTAGAAAGATCTTGGTGGGATATTTGGCGGTCTGTGATCAAGGCGGCTAGCTTTTGTTTTCTACTTTGGTCAGAGAAGAAATCACCGTTTACTAGTATGTCGCTTAATCGCTCAGGTATTATTACTAAAGACTGGTCCTCCACGGAAATTATTATATCCTCGTTAGGACTTCTGGTGGTGAATGTTTTAGCGATTTCTGGGAACCTATTGGTCGTGTTTGTAATTTTGCGCACAAAGGAACTGAACCGCAAGGAATCTAACTGGTTTGTGATGAATTTGGCGCTAGCTGACCTGTTTGTCGCTTTCACAGTTATCCCAACTTCTGTGGACACCTTAATTCATGGAAAATTCCGTCTTGGATTGGCTTTCGAGGAATTTATTGGCTTTGCAAACTTTTTGTTCTGCATCTGTTCAATTATGAACTTGCAACTGTTGTCGTTTGATCGATGGTTTGCTATTGCTAAGCCGTTTAAGTACGTGGCTGTTGTAAGCCCCAGAAAAGCGAGCGCAGCTTGTGCGTTTATTTGGCTTTACGCTACGTTCTGCGCTCTTCCGCCAAAATTTGGCGTCAGTTCTTACTTTTGTTTTATTCCCAATCTGGATAACTGCGATATCGGAAAAGACTGGTCGGGATCGGGCAAAGCCCTTATCTTTGCCATTGCTGTTCTTGGATTAACTTACTGCCTCGCTTTAACTGTTATGGCAGTATGCTATTGGAAAATTTTCCGAATCGCTCGTTCGCACGTTCAGAGAATAAATGTGCAACGTTTTAATAGCCGTAATAGCCGCCAACCACCAGAAATGATAAGTGGTTCTTTTGCGTCAACCATCGAACCCGAAGTAACCGCTGAGAGCACTTTTGAAATTACTGCTTCGTTTCCCCAGGCGTCCAAACAAACTCAAAGGCAGCCACACGCTTCAGATATTCGAACTGCAAAGAGTTTTTTGGTCGTAATTGGAGCGTATTTCCTTTGTTGGACTCCGTTTTGTTTTACACTAATTCTAGACATTATAATGATGGAAAAGATTAACTCCAAAGTGAGTCTGATTTGTCTGTGGCTAGGATATACAAACAGTTGTTTGAATCCTCTAATCTATACTTGGAAGTACAAGCAATTTAGGAACGCTTTAAAGTCAACTGGTAGGAAATTCTACAGACAGTTTTCTCCTCAAACACAGATGAGGTAAAAGATCGACAAAAAATACCGGGAATATTTGCCAATGATCATCGCCAGAGCCAACTGCGCCTCCCCCGCCCTGGCCGAAGAGGATGAAAATTCTCTTGTTGAAAACCGGCGGTGCGCGTGGAGTTACAGGACTACGGTGACAATAACCATCAAGCCCCGTGCTCCCTGTTTCCCGCCCTTTATCGACGAATCGAATGCAACGGCGCCTGCACAGTTTTGTGAATTGACTGGGCACAAGTCCGAAAATACCCTGAAAAGAGAACACTTCTAATACATCAAATATTCTCTCTCGCGCGCGATTGGTCTAAATACGTCACGTGACCAAATATTCCCCAGCCAAAACTGGGGAATATCCGAGAAATTTCCTCAATTTTCAAAACTGCGCGTGTTGCGAAAAAGATTTGAAGAATAATAAACACAATAGCCTCCATTTGGCGCGAAAATATGCTCGAATATTTGTCCTTGGACATTATCTGTTCCTCGAAGCTCACAGTTTTCCTCGATCGAGCTACGCTCTCGGAAAACTGTTCGCTTCTCGGAACAGATAATTTCCGCGGACAAATATCCTGGCATATTTTCGCGCAAAATGGAGGCTATTGTTTATATATGCATACTCAGATAGGAACCTTATTAGATCGGATGTTTTCGACACCCACTTTTACTGTCTAACAGCTAAGAGTCAGTCACTTTAATAAAGCCTAACTTACTTACTTAGTCTTAATTCCCGTCGAAAACAAGCACTACACAAATGGAACTGAGACACCAATTGTTTGACACGAAGAGAGGCTTTATTAAACTCGCGATCTCCCCAGAAGGAGATGAATAAACGAAAGATAAACAGTAAAACCTCTCTGCCTTCCTAAGGGAGGGATGGGTAGGTACAAAATACTGAACGAAATAAAAGGCGTGTGAACCGAACATGAACAAAATGAAAATGAGCCACTGAAGCCCTTGAAATACGAGATCTACATCATGTGACCCAATCTGTTAAGCTCGGGAAATTAACTATTTTGAGTTCCCCAAAATAAAACACTTACTTAATAACGCGGAATTTATTAATCACATACAAACATAATTAATAGCTTTGTTTTAACTCGGATTTTAGAGTTTTTAGAGAAGCAACAATTATGTTAGTATCTCCACGACTAAAAGTTTCAATATATTCTAAAATGATGTAAAAGTTTAACACTATGCAAACTGTAAGATAAGCATGATTTTAAACAGATATTTAACAGATAAAATGTGTATTAAAATGCTTTGGGATAGTTTGCCTTGTTTTAGACTTTGGTCCTTTTTAAAACTATTCAACCAGGAGCCTGTCACCCTCATCCAACATTCAGTATCAGTTTAACAATTAGATTACAAGCCCTCGTTTTCTATGAGCGAACAGTCAATGCAACGAGGCGTACAGCCGAGTTGACTATTGTTCATACAAAACCGAGGCGAGTACTGTAATCGTTTTAGTAGACACTCTAAAGGATTAGAGCACAAAACTTACAATTTTGTGTGTTTTTTAAATAAACCTAAACTTAAGAATAGCTCTCAGTTTCAAGAGCAGCGCGCTCGATTATTGTCTATCCGGCGAATAAAAAACGATGAGAGAACCAATCAGATTCGCGGATTTCCAACAGAACACAGCTGAGTGGCTTTTAAAACACGATAGAAACACGAAAAATGCTTTCTATTTAGTAATGAACCAGACGTGCTAAGAGGGTTTACTCGACTCGTATTATCAAATCGTACTTTTCAGGTATGGAACACAATAAAATTAAGACTAAGTTAATGACTTCGCTCACACGAACCTCACGAGGACGACCACGAGAACTCCAAGCCCACTCAAGCCCAAAAGATTTGTGAGCCCTCAAGTATCACAACCTGCGGTTAGTCCCCCATATTTGGCAATAGCAACATTCGAGAAGTATTTTTCAGTCTGGACTTCCAGGTAGACACACGGTCGATTCGAATATCGCGGTTGATTTTAACACTTCAAGGCTTCCTTTTCTGTTAATGACATATTTAAGTCCACGGTTGGTCCAGTTGATGGGAAATTTAGCCATCTTGCGTCAGGAATCCGTGATGAGCGCGCAAAGCTGCGCGTGACATGACGTCGGACCGCAGACTTCGACTCAATTCGGGCAAGTTTCCTCCATTGGCTCTCCACTTACCTATTATATAGAATCAATACTACCATGTTTTACGACAAAGTAGACGAAGACGGCGAACGTGAGACTCCGGAGCAAGTATTTAAGATCATAATAATCGGCGACAGTGGCGTGGGAAAGACTTGCCTTGCTCATAGATTTGCGACCGGAAAATTCCCGGAGAGAACAGAGGCTACAATTGGAGTTGATTTCTGGGAAAGAAAACTCGAGTTGGATGGTGCAAACATCCGGGTAGGTTTATTCAAGCTTGCGCTTAGCGGTTTGATGTGCGACTGCTGTAATTTTCACGGTTAGCTTTTATTATGATAACTGCATGATTGTGAATTTAAATGGAGTTAGTAGCTGTGTTGACGTTTCAATTTCCGTGACACTTTAATGTAATATTTAACATGTCCTATTTTGTTTTGGCTTGTTCTGCGAAGGGTTCGTATACTCTAATAGCCCGAGTTTGTCAAAAAAATATTGATTGCTCATTTAGGGGAAATGTTAGTCGAGAAAATGCTCCCACGAGCTTACAAGTCAAACATTTAAGAACCTTTTGTTTTTACAGCCAATAGGTATCTGGTTGGTGTGTGACATGCAATAACCAAATTGATATCTTTACCTTTTGTTATGCACTCAGTCTGTCCCCATTGTTATATGGGAGGTGCTGTACATGAATCCAATTGATGAGGTTTTGAAAGATGTTTTGTTGACTATAGAGCATGAAAGAAGGAATTCCATATTGTACCAATAGGGTCATAGTTGCACCTCAATGGCATTTAAAATAAATAAATAAATAAATAAATAAATAAATAAACATATTTATGTAGGACGACCATTTCAGTTATAAAAACTGCTGTCAATATGGGTCCTGCATAAAATAATAAATGAATAATTAATAAAATAATATATAAATATGCAAAAATGTAAAAAGTTATATAAGAAATCTAAAAATATACATATAAAAAGAGATAAAAAGACTGGAACTAGATTCATATTCAATGGAAGGGTTTTGTGCAAAAAGGGCGTATGTGACATTTTGGGCCGATTTTTATTTTTTGCAGGATCGAGCTAATTTTTGGCAGACTGACTTGTTTTGACATGAAAAGCATCGTTGCGTAATTGTTTTTGTTGATTTGCGCTTCGTTTTCGAGAAATGACATATGCAAAAAAAACTCAGTTTTCTGAACGGTGGATTTTGATGTGGTGCAAACTTAAATGGTTACTTTTAGCAGCTTCGACAGCATGGATTTTTTTAAATAGATGTTTTGATTTTTGGAAAAAGTAGAGAAATAGACCGGAAAAAAAAATTGACCGACCTCGTATCGAACCGGTGTCACGACAAAACAAACTCGTATCCGGCCAGTTCAGCGCCTTATTCGCTTGCACTAACAAAGCAACAGCAAGAGAATTGCGTAATTATATGAATTATAAAACTAGCGACAAATACCACGCTTCAGTGACTTCATTGTTTAGCAAAACAAAGGTTTCTTTTGTTTTTCGCTCGACAAAAGATCTCCAAAAGGTACCCTTGGAAGACTGAGTTTTTGGCATACGTTATTTCTTGAAAACGAAGCGCAAATCAACGAAAACAATTACGCAACGATGCTTTTCATGTCAAAACAGTCAGTCTGCCAAAAATTAGCTCGATCCTGCAAAAAATAAAAATCAACCCAAAATGTCACATATGCCCTTTTTACATGAAACCCTTCAATTATTAAAAATATCTGCCCCTTTAAAAAAAATGCTTTTTTAGTCGATTCTAATTTAATTCTGTTTCTTGTAATAAAGTGGAAAAATTAAATTGGTCTGGATAATAATATATTGGTGTAAAAATTCAATAAATCTTAATTTATTTTTCTTCTCTGGTACCTCTTAGGTTTGAAAATAAATTTGTTCAATTTGCTTAAAATTAGATCATATTTTGGTAGCTTGAAGGAGTTCTTGTAAAATCACAATTATCATCCCCCCTCCCCATCCTGATCAAAATCCCTTAGTAGTTCATGGTGGTCTCAGAACAAAAGGTTTGATAGCTGATTTTCACTGATATGTTTGATATTCCACATCCTAGAGATTGACAGGTTTGTATTTACGTGTACCTGCCTGGTATGTGTAAGATGAGAAACTTACACTAATGTAGTTTTTATACCATACCAACTATAATAGAGCCATAATAATCAGGATGGATTTTAGAGCAGTTTTCAATCGAAAGTATCCACTACAGTCAGTCAGTTACTTAATTGGTTTTGGTTTTGTTTGTACATATTAGAGTGGTTTTCATTTGAGTGTTGAAAGTAATCAGGCAGTTACTTTGGTTTTGGTTTTACTACGGTTTGAGATTGGCTGAGTAGTTTAATTGGTAAGTCATTGGTTTGGTTTTGGTTTTACGACACTCAATTGAAAACCGCTCTATTGGTTTGGTTCTGGTTTCACAACACTCAATAGGCATCTTGCAAGTTGCCTTTTGCCTCTGTGTCAAAATGAATCTGTGCAAAACTATTCCTATGAAAATGTGTTCCATCCACAGGTTCTTTTTCATGCAAATCAAACTCATTTTCATATGAAAGTTTTTGTACAAGGTCTTGTTTTGAAACAGAGGCACAAGGTACCTCGGAAATGGCCCATTGAAAACTGCTCTAACAAAATTAAAAGTGTATTTACTTATTATATTTATATCTGTTTTCTGTTTTACTTGTTCTAGCTACAAATCTGGGATACAGCTGGTCAAGAGAGATTTCGTAAAAGCATGGTGGTTCATTATTATAGGAATGTGAGTGCTGTAATCTTCATGTATGACATCACGAGAGAGGGTTCATTCAAGGCATTGGCAACATGGCTTGATGAATATGACCACTACGGTCTGACTGATTGTGAGGGAGAAGTCCCAAAACTTATGATTGGGAACAAGTGTGACCTCATTCATGAGAGAATAGTTAGCTCAAATCAAGCAAGAAAATTTGCAGACCTCCACAGCATGCCCATGTGGGAAATTTCAACCAAAAATGATGAAGAACTGGAGACAATTGAATCCATTTTTCTAACACTCTCTCACAAACTTGTACGGTCAAAAAGTTTTATGGATAGACTTCCACGTTACACGTCTCTGGAGTCATCAGTCGAAAGCACCAAATCAAGAACTAAATCAGGGAAATTTAGAAATTCACAGAAGAAAATTAAACTCAAGAATGAAACTGGACATCAGAAGAAGAATTGTTGCGAATCCTCGTGATCAAGAAAGTAAGGCTCATCATAATAAAAAGTGTTCACAATTTACATTAGTCAGTTACAAATACTTCATTATACAGTTGGACCTTTGCAAAGGGAAGCCTCCTCTTGGAGGACATCTCCCATAACAGGACAGTAATACAGATCTGCCAACCCCTGATAAAAGGAAATCAGGAGACCCATAAAAAAAAAATGCGGGAGATTCTACAAAAAGTGGTGAGATTCTATTTCTTTTCCTGATAAAGATGTAATAATAAAAGCATGTGGCTTGTCCATGTTCATGTATATTTACTTAGCAATATAATGCACATGGATTATGCCACAAGTTTGAGTATTCCCAATCTGTGAATTATTGTAGGAAAGAAAATTACATTTGTTGAGCTATTTGTTAAGCACTTGGGAATTTAAGAACACTTATTTATAAGAAGTGCGGAAGTCACTTGGTTGCTTCTCTTGCTTCTTTATGAATGTATGCACTTTTCCTGTGGTTTAGGTATTACTTTGTGCTTAAAGAACTCAACAAATTATTTTTGTGCACATAGCTCAGAAGTAATAATATAATATGATTCGATCATTTTTACTCATTCTGATTTTTAACCTGTAATCAGACCCTCCTTGGTCCACATTTGTCATAGCGACCAGTAAGGAGGGCATGATTGGGTCAATAGGGAGTTTAAGTAACCACATTGTCAATGCCAAGGAGAATGTCAATTAAGGAAAATTAATTTTATATTAATTTTTTTTTACCTAGGAATCTCACAGTGCCGTAAAGTCATTTAGTTTGTTTATCACTGTCAAACAATCACAAAACTGAATTTAGGACACAACGATAAATTTGAAATGAAAATAATTACAAAAATTAGACAACCCAGAATTTGGTTGTTTCATGATGTTGTTTTGCAGAGGACAGCAAAGAAATATACAAAGAATATTATAATGCATGTGCACAGCCATTGTGCTGCTCTCATTAGACCTTTTGTTGTGGTTTTCTTAAACTCCCTATTATCAAACAGGATCCAAAGTAAACCAGTTTTCAGGCTCGCCCCTCAGGCAAACTGTAACTGTGATGTTCTAGCCTGAAAGTCATTCACACTAGCCCCCAAAATGTTTCACACTTTCTCACTTATCTCTTACTTAACATTTCTTCTTGCCATCGTGCAAGCAAAGGATAGAAAACATTAGCCTGACTGAAAAGTCCACTATCACGACTAGCCTTGCGCTACGAGACATGACTTTCTTTGTGTTCTGATCCAAGAGGTATCTCAGTAGCAAAACAGAGTTTATTGGACTTTCAAATAACAGTGTGAATTAATTCAATTCTTGAATATTGCTGCAGCACCTTTGATTTATAGTAATCTATCAATACACTGAGATTAATAGTAAGAACACTGAGATTAATAGTAAGAAATGATAAGACTAAATTGACCAAGAGACATAAATTCAAGGGAAGCCAGATGTATTGTAATAAAATATTATTGTTGGAAGTTATAACTTACAGTTTGTAGTTCCAGAAAATATCCACACTCCTCCCCCAGAAGGGATTGGAATTTTCTGGAGTGTGGGGGTTCTGGTAAGACCCCAAAATTTAAAGAAATGTATGAAGCTTAACTTCTTAACTGGTATTTCCAGAGGGGTGTGTGTGTGGGGAGGGGGGAAGGTCTTACAAAAAATCCCTTTTGTGGGGGAGGTATTAATAGACGTTTTTGGAACTACACAATCACCAATGGGAAACAGAGTACAAAATCCTTCATGTTAATGTTTGTCTTTTTTCTTTCCTGATTGTTCTGAAGGAATACACAGAGAAATAAAAACAAGCAGGAATCAAATAAATTGCCATAAATAGACAAGACTTCATGAAGATAGTTTTATATTACATTTAGATATATGTACAGTATCCGCCACTAGAAAATGTGGAGAAAATCTGAAACAGGTAAATGGAAATAGCTGAAAGTGTTCATAGTTGAATTTGTGTTAAAAAGGGAACTCATTGATGTACATAAGAGCTGTTTTAAAATGTTGCCCTGGAGTTAGTTAAGTTTAGTTAATAAATAAAGCACTGATTATTCAGACTAACTGCCAAACAATCTTTATTGATCTAAATCTCTTTATTGTTTATTTATATACCACCTCACCCCTCCCCGACTCATCATTACCTCGTGTCATCGCCCTACCTATTGTAGCTCTTCCCAGACACCAAGGGCATGTTTCCTCTTGCAAGATAACCAGATTTTCAATCACTGAGTCATTTCCTAAACGCTTTTGATATTTTTTCAAAGTTTTTTTCAAAAAATGTAAGTCTTAAAGTACGTGGCTTATATTGTTCACCATGAAGGACCCCTAAGGATTATTTCCGCTGGATTAATATTGAAAGAACAAAGTTCATACCAAGTTAATTTGGCAAGGTAGATCGTCTTACTCCTGATCAGATTGCGAAAAATATTTTGCGCGATTCGTTCAGTGATCGCGTCAGTAGAGAGGGTTGCTGTACGAGTGAATGTCAAATGACTCACCTAAAAAAGTCCTGTGGTGCCTCGTTGCAGGCCAGAAAAACCCGAAGAACCTTGGAGAGACGGGCTTTAAATAGCTCATTACAATTCCCATTTTACTGTACCATAAATAACATTCTGACTGCATAAAGCAAACAAATCGCAACGCAAAATTGATTTGCTGGTTTTGAGAGTGCTGGATCTTATCACGTGCTGCAGATTAGAAGCTAATTCGACAAAAATAGCCCACGTCAAGGGAAATACAGCGAAACCGGAAATTGATTGTGTCGAAAGTGAAAAAACCTTCTTTCCGGAAGTCCACGTGCAGTCAGTAATGTTGTTATTCTATGACGTCATTGTGGGCTTGTCCAATCGGAACAATTGAAGACAATGCTTCTAGTTCATTCGCGCGTGGTTGATCAACATGTAACCTTCTAAATTTGACAGAGAAGATTTCTGTGAAAAGCTTGGTTTTCCCCTGTCAAAGCTTCACTTGACTTCCTACCCGCCTTGCGCTTAGGGTGAAAAAGGAAAGCGAAGCTCACAAATTTTCGTTGTGTTGGATTTTTACAAACTTTGCCCGTGAAATGGAAGACTACAGCTACCTGTTTAAAATAATCTTGATTGGCGATGCCAACGTTGGAAAAACATGTCTGGTTAAAAGATTTACGAAGGGATTCTTTGCTCCATCGCAAGGTCCAACGATCGGTGTGGATTTTACGATACGAACCGTGGAAGTCGACGGAGAAAAAGTTAAGGTAGGTTTAACATTTAGTTTTTACTTCATCTTTCGTGATTTCGCTGAGACGTAATTTTGACAAGCACGCGCGTGCGGCTTGTTTTGCATGGATTCGAAGTCCGCGCAAGCTCTTGTTTCGCTTTTTTTTTTTTTCATTTCATCAGCTCTGTTATTTTACCTTATTTGAGTAATTTACTTAACTGGCTTAATTTTCAAAAGACACACGTTTTTTTCCCCCGCAAATTTATATAAATCTACATAACCTTAAAAAAAAATATGCTGGTATTATTCCGTGAGTTTTATAATTTTGTTTTGAATTTTCGAAACCGCATTACGAATTTAGCGCGGCGATTACCATTTTTGAGAAGGTCTAATACAAAATGTTCGCCTACATGTATGATGTTACCAGTACACTTTTTTAATGTGGATGATTCATTCACATTTATTATATCCCTCCGTTTGATGGATGTTAAAATTTACGTAAGCCGACTTCTAAATACATTTTTGCTGGTACTTGTTTGTTACTTGTCGGTATTGATACAAGCCTCCGTCATTTCCTCTATTTAGCTCATTCGTATTCCCACGTTTTCGTGCTGCTGCAGATTTTGCGTAACAGCAGTATAGTTGAAATGAGCTGTATAGAACGAACCTGACTTCCATACGGTTTTAATTTCGTGTTAAAACTGCAAGTTGTAACACAGCCGACTGTTACATGTCTGTTAAAAGTTTGTATCGACTCGTAAGATTGCTGGTAATGGAAAATAAATTGGCTACATTTTCTTACTTTCGTGCAAAACACTCGTGCTTTCACTTAGCTGTTGAATTATCTGCACTTTGGGGAAAACAGGAAACTTTCGCTCTGCAAATTTTTTAGTCTGGCTGTTTTTAATTTGCTGTCACGTCTCTTTATTACGTGTATACCTTTGTATGTTTTTGGTGAATATTTATGGGAAATTTAAAATTTTTGTGTTATGTGTTAAAGGGGAATATTAAAAAACACCCCAATGCCCGGGATAATGAAATAAAATAATATTGTTCCTTCACTAAATTCTAATTTGTCACTTTGTAGCGAAATAAAATGTGCACACCGTATGTGTTCAAAGTTTTTCTTTTCTTAATTGTGAAATCCATTATATAATTTGTAATAGGTGTGGAACAATTGTACTGTAAGATAAAGCTGTTAGCCAAATGCAAAGTTTGCCTAGGCCCATAAACTGAAACTTCTTTAATTCTTTATTTTATGATAAGGGGGCTATAACTGTAAGATAAATAATTGTTTTATTTTGCTGCATTATACCTAAGAGCTAAATTCTTCAAAATGATAAAAAAATGTTTATTCAAACAATTTGATAACATTTTTGCTAAGAGGGAGATGTGAGGGGTTGTGGTGGACTGCAAAAATAATGACATACAGGCTCACAAGCGTCATGTTTTTCCCTCGCATGATATATTTTTAGGTTATTTTTCTTCTTAACATTATTCTTATTATTGTTATTATTGTAAGGAAATTATTATCAAACTAATTAATAATGTTCAAATTAAGAGGAAATATTAGTCCCATTCCATTAAGCTTGTTATTATATCCTGTACTCTGTTGGGGGTAATAAACAAGTAAATATCAACAGTTAATAAGTAACCTTGGGCCTTTCTTCTGTTTAATGTTTTACAGTATCACATCAGAACGACAGTACTAGTGGAATCCTCACTTTTCAAAAATGCAGGAAAATAATGGGTTTGAAAAATCGCGTGACGGGGGTAGAATATTACTACAATGTTCGGCTGAGGGGAGGGAAACGACTTTTGATTTGAGTTATCCAGATGTTCAAAAAATCAAGGGTTTGAGAAACTCGGTTTTAGGCTAGAGGAAAAATATACAATTGAAATTTATTAAAATGTAAAATTCCAACTGTGATCGACATTGATCTTTGTTTTTGGTTTACCTTTCTAGCTACAAGTTTGGGACACAGCTGGTCAAGAACGTTTCCGCTCAGTTACCCACAGTTATTATCATAATGCAGATGGTGTCATTATAACTTATGACATCACCAATAGGAAATCGTTTGAAAACCTGCAACAACATTGGCTTGATGACGTCCACAGATTCACAAGCAAGAAGGTACTGATGTTCATTGTAGGGAATAAAAATGACCTTTCCCACCAGAGGGAAGTGGATTTCAGGAGTGCACAAATGATTGCCGAGAATGAAGATGGCACGGCTATGGAAACGTCTGCAAAAGAGGCAGACAACGTGGAGAACTTGTTTATGAGCATGGCAACTAAATTGAAGAGAAACATAAAAAGCAAGGAAACTGCAGAAACAAAAGACATTGCTGCTGATGGCAATCCTACTGGCATTACCCTTGGGGGGCATAACATTTGTGCCCGGGGGCCACTGTCCTGTTGCAGAGTATAGAGACATCAAACTTATTTATCAGTTTTCCACAGATACAGATGCATCATCTACATTGTAATGTACAAAACAATTTTAGTATGGGACTTAATGTACAGCTCAATGAAGGAGAAAGATCTTGTAAATATTGTATATAAAATTAGTTGGTTTTAAACATAATTTTTATATTTTTAATTAAAATATTTTGTAGGTTCTTGAAAAATGTAGAAGAGAAATGATCTGACTTACATTATATACATACATAGAGTTTTGTCAATACCAAATTATTAGTGAAAGCCAAAGGGTTATTCAATGAGAAGATAATGACAAATAAATTTCTTTCTACTACAGTTTTGGTTGCAGCTACTCCTCCTCAAACAAAATTAATGCATTGTAACATGTTACACTAAATTGTTCCTATTATTAACAGAGTGCAATGTCAAAGTGGAAAATGCACTTTTCAACTGGAAACTGAGAATGTTTTGTCGCTCTGAGAACTGTTCCCATTTATTGTTCTTTTCACTTTGAAAGTACTCACATGATTTGGATGAAAAACAAATTAAATTCTCAGCCATCCATTAACTACAAATGAGGGGAAAATGGAATAATTCATAGAAGTACAAAAGGCTCGAGCCTCAATACTGCAAAATTAGATTAGTACTTAACTTACAGATCAGTGGTGGATGCACAGGGGTAATCTGTTCCCCCCCCCC